TTTAAACAAACATAAAAGCTAACCGATCTAAAGAAAACTCGTCTGATTTAAGGAAAATGAATTAACTGAACGCAAAACGGAAGTTACTTGAGCGCGCAAAGATATGACAATTAAAAAAAGGAAAAAAAGAACTACGTAGATCGGGATTTCAAGTATTGTACAATAAGCAAGCATACAAAGTTAAACTTACAACGCACTTTTAAAAGAGAAAAAAAAAAAAGGCAAGAAAACATAGAGGATAGATCGAGCATTGAGTTGGCTCAAGAAACGCTAGTTTAAATTTGAGAAGAGAAAAACATAAATCCATGACGAAATCAGTAAGAACGAGGAGAATATTACCTAAAGGCGTGAGTTGACGAGATGGGAGAGATAGAGTGCGAGTAAGAGAATCGGACTCTCGGATCGATATGAAACCCTAAGAGAGAGACAATGGAGGAAGAAGAGAGAGAGAGACGCGGAGGTAAAGCTGAAGTTGGATTATGCAAATGTTTTTAATTTAATATCTGGGGGCGTAATTATTTCCTTAAAATGTCCGCGAATTTGAAACGTGGGATCGTTGGCTTGTTGGTGTCCTGCGTCCGTCCTCCACTCCACGGTGCGCTTTGTTTTAAAAATCACGCACTCCTACCATCGCCTCCCGGCTCTGCCCGACCTACAATACAAACTCAACTGCTTGGAACTTTTTGTGTTTTTTCCCTGTTCGAGTTTTTCTATTTTTTCCCTCCCGTATCCCCGCATTGCCCGTTCCTGACAAAGAAGGTGCTGCAAGCGTCCCAATGCAAACAATTCTAGAACCTTCGGTTACCGTTTATTTCAGCGAGAAGTACTACAGGCATTTTCACGTGAGACAACTACCACTTTTTAGTAGTAAAAATGCGTTATTTAAATGGTTATAATTAACAATTAACATATAGCCTACAAAAGTTCAACTCACACATTATTTGATACAACATTTAATTATATCAATAATAGAAAAATCCGAAGCAGTCCATTTGGATTAATTAAAGGTGCGTAGGTGGATTTGACGTGAAATCCCTATTCATAACCCTTTCGGTAAATGCAAATGTTGTTTGAGTAACTTAGGGCATCCATAATTGAAGGGAAAAAAAGTCCCGAATGGCCTTCCAACTCTTTTTCAGGTAAAGTTTTGGTCCTCCAACAATTAAATATTAAGGTTTGACCCTCGATCTAACAAAATAGCATATTAGTGGTCCTTCTGTCAAATCCAGCAGTTAACTATAACGGGAAGCATCATCTTGTCAGACGCGTGACCACATATGAAGGGTATTATAGTCTCTAAAGGATGGTTTACCAAGCAAAAAGAGAGTAAAAAGGTAGCTTCTTCTCTTACCTTAAGTTAGAGCAACAAAAATCTCCATCTAACAAAAAGTTGTATTGGCTCAGTCATATCAGATTAGCTGAGTCCGTTGGGAAGCATTTTGTTTCTGCTGCTTTCTTTCGATTGGCTACTGAATGCAAAGCAGAGGTATTATTTCCTTTTCAGTCTTTTTTTTTTTAATTAGCAAAGGTACTTTTAGACCTTTCATCAATTGTTGCTACAAAGATTTTGGTCTGTTGTCTCAATTCTCAAAAGTAATACTAAACAAGAAGAGGAAAAATGATAATTGAAAATTGAATTGCAATTGTCTCCTAGATTGTGCGTAGTGGAATAAAATCGTACTGAAGTGGCTGTTTTTAAATATTTGTCCTTAGCCATTTCGAAATACTAAAGTTGAGCTGAAGAAATATTTGGGGCGACACGAGTACTTATCTGGAGAAAAAAAGTGGAAAGATTTGTCTATTAGCTACGGATTAATGAAGGAGGAAAGCAACTTATGCCACAATAACAAGGAGGAAGAGGCAATTGAAAACAGTGACCACCCCGAAAACACTCGAAGTGAACAAGAGAAGCAAATCATGGAACCAGTCCCTGGAGAGCCTGGGAATGAATAAGGGAGTCTCACTTGTCTAATGAAATGCTTAGCATTTTGTTGTGAAGAGAAGTTTTTACATTTTAGATATTGACAAATCAGATGATTCGCACTAGGGTTTTACAGCAAAAAGGGTGAAAATTGTTGGAGAGAAAATTATTGGAAAAACTGTTTTTACTGTCTTAACAAACAGACTATAATGCCCTTCATATTTGGTTGCACGTCTCACGAGATGATACTTTCCGTCATAGTTAACTGCTAGATTTGACAGAAATGCCACTAATATGCTATTTTGTTAGATCAAGGGCCAAACTTTTATATTTAATTGTTGGATGGCCAAAACTTTACCTGAAAAAGAATTGGAGAGGCATTGGGACTCTTTTTTCCATAATTGAATGTGATAGACACACCCATCCATTATACTCGGTCCCATAACCAGAGTGGGAGTATAGTGAAAGTGTAATAGTAATGATATGTATCATGGCCATTACACGCATAATAGACTGGTTGTGGATTCCATTTGTCATTTATGGATTCTATTTGCTAGTTGTGATTTTGAAGACCTTGAGTTATCATGTGTAAGATAGAATTTTTGATATTGGACATCATGTTAATCTAGCTTTGACAACATGTTAAGCCCCCATTTTGGGCCTAGGGTACTTTTGATTTAACTTTTGATTTAAAAAAAAGGTAATTTTGGGTGTTAAAGTATTTTTGAGGTATTTGGTGAATGTGATTCCATAAAATCAAGAAGTGAGTTTTTGGTGTTAAAAAACACTTTTAACAAAAGCTCAAATTTGATACTTTTAGAGTAAATTTTGTTGTTTAAAAAATAAAACATTAAATTTAATCATTTTGTCTTGCATTATGAACTAAATAAATGGATAAATACATTTTAAATTTTTAAAATTACATATTATTCAATACAATAAGTACTTATTGAATTATGTATCCAAACAATATATTTAAAAAAATTTAAACACTTAATAAGTACTTTTACCAAAAGTTCTATCGATGAAATACTTTTCAATAAATTACCACAATTCCAAACGGAACCAAATGCCATCTTCAAAGAAGAGATAGACTTCACACCACAATGGTTGTGGTTTCCACCAAATTCAAATGTGTAAAATAAATAGGAAAATTCATGTTCAATGCCTCAAATTTCTAAGAATTTTAAATGAATTCATCCCTTTATTTAGTTCATAAAATATGATTAAATGATTAAATTTAATATATTTTTAAATATAAATTTTATTTTAAAAGCATCAAATTTGAACTTTTGCTAAAATATACTTTTAACACTAAAAGTTTCACTTCTAATTTTATAGGATGATATCCATCAAACACTACCAAAATATTTTTTGTACCCAAAAGTGATAAAAACTTTTAGCACCAATAAAAGCTTTTGCTTTTAACCAAAAGTACCATAACCTCATATGGACCCGTTGCCTTGAACTAAAAATGAATATGAGTGGGTGTATAATCATATTTATAATGAATTTTAATTACTATCTCAAAGAATAGTTGTTTTTTATAATATTGAATGAATATTATCACATTATAAAAAATTTACATCTAACCAGCCACGGATTTAAGGGGGGGCTGGTGGGGGCTTAAGCCCCCCCAAGCCGCCGGAAAACCCCCTATATATAGGGGATTCCGGCGGCCAGCCCAGCCCAGCCCCCTCACGGTGATCCAGATCTACCGACTACCATCCTCCATGGCTCCATGGATGCTGCAGAGGAAGTGAAGAAGAGCTGGAAAGCCGCTGCCGTGCTGACTGCTGAGGAAGAAGATGACTCATTTCATTTTGAATTTTTTTTTTGCCCTCTAAATACAAAACGACGTCGTTTCACTTTTAGTGGAACGACGTCGTTTTGTATAATGAGGGGAAAAAAATACATCAGATGAAGCCCTAAGGCTTCATCTGATGCAAAAGCACGCCGCCAGTGCCAAAGGGCAAACAAGACTCCAACTCCAAGAAGAAGACGCCAGGCTCCAAGAACTCCAAGAAGCTTCAGTTGAGATTCTACCATCCTGCTTCAAGCCTTCAATTCAAGGCTCCAAGACTCCAACTCTCCACCATTCCATTCACATAAATCTTTTAGGTTAGTTTTTTTGTTTAAATTACAATATTCATCTTTATATTTTTGTTAATTATATGTTTAAATTATTTTTGAATTTTGAGTATCTTGATATTAATTTGATTAAGATTAATTTTTATTTAGTTTATGTTAATGTAATTTAAGAATTTGAAAGATTACATTAAAAAATTTAATGATATTAAATTTAAATTAGAAATTAGTTTAGAAATTGTATAGATTTTAGGTTGTATTTAGCTTTTAAAATTTTGTTAGTTTTATATTTGAAATTTTAAGAATTAATTATGTGAATTAGAAATTTTGAATGTAAATATAAATTCAAAATTTTATGAGATTGAATTAGAGATTATATGGGTATTTAGTTGTACCTTATTTTAACTTTTTGATAATTTTATATAATGAATTTTATAAATTGAGAAATATAAGTAATATGAATTTATTATTAAATTAAAGAATTATTTGTATGAATTTTAAATTAATTGATTATTGAATTGCATAATTTTATTGAATTTAACCACAATTATTTAATTGTGACAGAAAATGGAGAGATTCTTTAAACCTAAACGAGTCCGTAGTGGTGAATCTTCAAATGAGCCTAATATTAGTGAACCAGTTCAAAATCAATCTTGTGTGGAATTGAATTTAAATGATATTGTTAGTGATCCGGGATTACGAAAATCAATTGAGAAATTTGATATTTCTCTTCGAGACCATGTCCGAAGAAAGTATTTGACTAGGGGACCTTGCCAACCGATTGGCCATATGTATCCAAAAAACATCATTTGGTAAACAACATAGAAGTTTCCAAGATAGTTGGTATCAAAAGTTTGTATGGTTAGAGTATAGCATATCGAAAGATGCGGCGTTTTGCTTTTGGTGCTTTCTTTTCAAAACACAAAATAAGGGAGGTCGATATGCAGAGGATGCCTTTACAAAAACGGGATTCAATAATTGGAAAAAGGCAATGGAAAGATTTAATGAACATATTGGAGCTGTGAATAGTTGCCATAATGATGCTAGAATACAGTTTAAAAGTTTTCAAGATCAAAGGCATAGTGTGTCAAATGTGCTACGATCTTGTGGGCGCGAAATAGATATTGCATATCGCACCCGTTTAACTGCTGCTCTGGATGTGACCCGCTTTCTTTTGAAGCAAGGATTGGCTTTTCGTGGAAATGATGAGTCAACTAGTTCTTCAAATAGAGGCAATTTTCTTGAATTGTTTGAGTGGTATAGCCAGCGAAATACTGAGATTTTTGAGGTTGTAAATCAAAATGCTCCTGCAAATAATCAACTAACTTCTCCAATGATTCAAAAAGATTTGGCACATGCTTGTGCCTCAAAGATCACAAGTGTTATAATCAATGATATTGGAGACAATTATTTTTCCCTAATAGTTGATGAGTCTCGAGACAGTTCAGTGAAAGAGCAAATGGGAGTTGTTTTGAGATATGTGAACAAAGAAGGGCGTGTGATTGAACGTTTCCTTGCAATTGTACATGTGTCTGACACCACATCTCTTTGTTTGAAAGATGCAATTGATTCTTTATTCGTGCAACACGGATTATCATTATCCAAATTGAGAGGTCAAGGATATGATGGAGCTTCAAATATGCGAGGTGAGTTCAATGGTTTGAAGGCCCTTATATTACAAGAAAATTCCTATGCGATGTATATTCACTGTTTTGCTTACCAACTCCAGTTAGTTATTGTTGCTGTTGCTAAGGAAAATATCATTGTCAGTGAATTCTTTGTCTATGTCTCTATGATGGTCAATTTAACTGGAGCATCATGTAAAAGAAGAGATCAATTAAGACAAATAGAACATGATAAGATTGTTACACTTTTAGACAGTGGAGATATTATTAGTGGAAAAGGCAAAAATCAAGAAACTAGTTTAGCAAGACCAGGGGATACTCGTTGGGGATCACACTATCTAACATTACTTTGTCTATCCTCTATGTGGGCTTCGGTGATTGGAATATTGGGAAATATACAAGATGATGCCACCACTTCTGATAATAGAGGTATGGCCAGGGGTTTGATTGATAGAATGAATGATTATGAGTTTTTTTTTTGTATTGCACCTGATGAAGTATTTATTGGGAATCACAAATGACTTGTCACTTGTTTTGCAACAAAGGGATCAAAATATTGTCCAAGCCATGAGTTTGATTGATACTATGAAATCTCAATTGCAAGACTTTAGGGAAGAGGGATGGCAAATAATTTTAGATGAAGTCAACAATTTTTGTGAGTTGAATATGATTCCCGTGATTGATATGGAAGACAGTATAGCAATCCGTGGCAATGCCAGGCGCAGTCGCAAAGGTCAAACCATCACTAATTTTCATCATTATCGCGTGGAAATTTTTGTGAGGTATTATTTTTGAAATTATTATTTCATTACATTTGTTACTTGTTAGCAGATTTTCTTAGTTATTAATTTTATTATTGTTGTGATGTCAGGTTGTTGATTTAATTATACAAGAGATGAATAATCGTTTCTCGGAAGTTAGCACGGAATTGCTTAGTTGCATAGCATGTCTTGATCCAAAAAGTTCTTTCTCTCAATTCAATGTGCAGAAACTACTCCGTCTTGCTGATTTATATCCTGAAGACTTCTCAAGTAACGATTATGTATATCTTGAGTCTCAACTTCGAAATTATATTTATAATGTGCAACGCGATCCTCAATTTTCAGAAGTTGGAGATTTGGGAAGTCTTGCTCAACAAATGGTTAAAACTGGTAAAAATACAATTTTTCCATTGGTTTATCGTCTGATCCAGTTGGCATTAGTTCTACCAGTTGCGACTGCTTCTGTTGAAAGAGTATTTTCTGCAATGAATATTGTCAAGACTGATTTGCGCAACAAAATGGGAGACGAGTGGATGAATGACTGTTTGGTTGTATACATCGAGAAGGATATTTTTGCAACAATTGAAAATGAGCAAATATTGCAGCGTTTTCAACTGATGAAGACTCGCAGAATGCAATTGCCTCCTCTTCGTTATTCGAGTGCAACAACTACCAATACTTCAAGTGTTAATCAATAACAAATTTTTGGGTATGTATAATTATATGTTTTTATTATTTTTATAATTATTGATTCTAAATTTTACTTATTAAATATATTTATTTCATCACAAAAAAATTTTTTAATACACTTCAGCCCCCCCAAAAATAAATTTCTGGCTCCGTCCCTGCATCTAACAATTTCTAAAGACTAATATGGTAGTTGAATATTTGGAGTATAATAATTTTTTGATATAAATATGAATTTATAAAAACATTGTTAATGAATTATTTAAGCCTTGCATTCATTCGTAAATAATTACAATAAAAAATTATTCTATGCTAATGCAAGGGCAAATTACTAGTGTATATTATTTAAACACAAGTGAGCTCAAATGAGTTAAGAGCAGTTGAACTTGAGTAAGCTAAAACTAGATAGAGCTCAACCGCCAGCTGATACGAGAAGGATGAGTTTTAAGAGTTTGACGAGCTTAAGTGAATAGTGCATTAGTTAGGTTGACTCAGGTTATGAGACAATCCATTCACTTCCAAATTACTATCACTTACCACCCAGTCACGCAAAAAATGGGATAAAGCAGGCAATTTTTCTCCGTTCTATCCTTCCAATCAAAATTAACTACGCCTATTATTCTTGATTGAAAAGCTCAACACTTCTTTGATTTTTATGTTTTTTCCTCGTGGGTTTCCTCACATTGAATTAGGGGTGCAAACGAATCGAGTCGCGATCAATATCGAACTCGAACTCAAAACATTAAGCTCGTTCGCGAGCTCGGGTATATATATATTTATTTTTTTTTATTTTTATTTTTAATAGTAAAATTACATAAATATTCTTAATATTTTATTATTTATTAATAAAAAATATTATTTTATTTATTTTTTTAAAAATAAAATATTTATTTTTTATTTTTTTCGACCTCGAACTCGAGCTCGATTCGAATCGAGTCGAGCTCGAGTTCGAGCTTGAAAATTACCAACTCGTCGAGCTCGAGTTCGAGTTCAAGTTCGATAAAATTAAGTCAAGACTCGACTTGATAAGGCCAAAACTCGACTCGGCTCTGCTCGTTTGCAGCCCTTGATTGAATGATTGAAATACCACATGAATCTCTCGCATACAATGGAAGCCGGTTGTGTGCATTTTTCATTGTGCGTAATTTTAATTGCACACAATGTAATTTTCTTTGCACACGACGTAATTTTAGAACAAATTTTTGTGGGTTCCACATACAGCGTAAAAATCGAGTTACAAGATGTGATCTGAGCCGCACAAAATTTTTTGGCCAAATCATGGCCATCAACCGCCAAATCTGACAACCGTTCCTGCCCCATTTCAGGTTTCTGGCAAAAAACAGGTTTCAATACGGACGCGACGTTAGCATTTGACTATGTGTCGTCACATTTGCGTAGAAAAAACGATTTGACAATTGACATGAACAAAAAAAAGAACGGCCTTGACTTGATGCAGGAAAACAAAAAGATCACCTGAAGGGGAAGAAATTCAGGTTTTTTATGGTCACCAGTCTCAAGGTCTACATGCACAACTTCAAAGTCCACTCCCATTTCTACTAGGCAAACTAGCACTCTCTGGGGGCAACCAGCAGTTACAGGCCCATAAACTTTAACTGCCATCCTCACAAAGTCGCAACTTTTATGTTTCTGAACTTGTAATTGAGGAGGTTCAGTCCCAATCTTTTTATAGCCAATGCTGATGCATCACAATTTTCCCGCTATGAAATATCGTCAAAACTGGGGGTTGTGATCACGTGAGACTTCGTACTATTTTGACATCTTGACTTTGTTTTTTACGTGATGGTTTTGTGTGACCTTGCATTGCAAGTTGCCCAATTTGCATTGTCTGATACTTTGATTTGGAACAGTACTATTGGACAACTTGCACTGGATGAGCTCTTTGGGGGTTGGCACGTGAAAGCCAACAGTAACCGGTTAGCGGCACGGGCTGCAGCAGCTGTCACCTACTCCCAAAGGTGCTTTTACAGTTAACTTTTTCCATGAAACTAATGGCCCGTAGTAAAAAGTCAAAATTAAATTAATAAATTTACTTCTCTTATTTATTTATTTTTGCCTCCAAGCACAAAAAAGAAGAAATGTAGATTAAAAAAATAGATAAATAAGAACTAGAAAATATCATTAAAGATTTGGTTTAAAAACTTGTAATGATATTTGTAGTAAAAAAGATCTAGTATTTTTTTTGTTTCTTGTTTATTTGTTTTATATTCCCTTCCATCTTTTTTGTTTTATATATATTTTTTAATTTCCCTTCGATCTATTTTGTATTTGGAGAAAATCAAGATTTTGTAGGCCAAAATATAGGTTTTGAAAATCATTTCTTCTCTTCCCCAAAAAAAGAAAAAAATAGAGAAAAAGGCAAAAAGGAAAGGGAAGAAAAAAAGAGCAGTGAAAGGATGATTTTATCAATTTATTAAATTGATTATGACTTTTTACTATTAACCGTTAATTTTAATAAAAAAAAAAAACTAATAGTAACACATTAACCCAAACCATCGGGGGATTAGATACATGTTTTTAAAACATGTGAAGTTACGTGATAAAGTACCAAATCACACAGAGATAAAATGTGATTTACCCCTAATTAAATGGTCGATGAAAGAGTTTAATTGAATGGCCATCACACAATCGTTTCAAAGAGGTGAATAGAACTTGATTTTTGAAGCTATTTGGTGGTTGGAATCAACTTTTTTACCCCGCTATCCGGGGTTGGAATTTGGAAGTGCTATCAGCACCACACTACTGCTTATGATGACAGATGGGACAGTTGTATCACCAAGCTACTATCGGAACTCTTGGCTAGATTATTCAGTTTCTTTTTTCTTTTTCGGTCAAGGAAATTAGCATGTCATCTATGCATCAAATGAATGAATCAACTTCCTCAGATAATCTCCCAACAAGATGATTTAGAGGGCTACTTCAACAAGTGACATTTCACCGGGCCAGAAATTTTTTTCGTCGAAGGGGCTTTCTATATCAAGGAACATAAGAGTTGCAGACGCAATTAATTCACTATCTACCTTGCTTACAGCTGCATTTTAATTTCTAATGTACAAATCTTTTTCTCTGAACTACCTAGTTTACGAGCTTCAAAGGCATGTGAACTTGCATATGGTTCAGCTCATGCCTTTTGCTAGCGGAGATGATGTTCTTGGAGGTACAAGAGACTTTGCATATGCCATTGGCAGAGCAAGTAACTTCTTCGGTTTGCTAACATAAGCTCTCCTGTCAAAATTGTTGTAGTCATTGGCTTCAATCTCGTCGAGTATTTGACGATACAACAATAGCGATGCCCATACCTGCAATTGCCAAGACAAATCTGGATTTTTAATGGCCTGCTAGGAACTCAAAGGCAAAGGATACAAGTTCAAGTTACAATGCCATATGTCAAGTTGCCTGTTGGGAGACCAGAAAGGGGGGAGGGTGGTGATGGTGGTTGTTTAGACGTATAATATCTGCAAACTGAAGCAGGATACAACCTGAAAATTGTATCTCATTGGTTTCAAGAAATTACTACACAAGTGAATCTGCATCAGGACTGTAAGAGGAATTCTTAAAAGTAACATGAAACAATGTATAAAAAGGCACAGTGAAATGTTAATATATCATAAGTGTTCTGGATGCAACGTAAAGTTAATCTAAGTGGAGGCCATTCTTTTCAATTAGCATTGGGTTAGATGGATCATAGAATTTTCCAAGTACATTCAACCCATTTATGGTCATTAATTCACTCTTTGTGCATACCATTCAATCAAGTCATTAAGCCAAGGAAATAGAGACTTTGAACTTAACCAGGATCGGTTTAATCAATATTCACAAATGCTTACAGGCCATCTGCTAGCAGAGTTGAGCTCGGTCACTCCTTTCTCTGCCTCATCAAAGAACTTCCTTGCTCTTTTCATTTGCTGCTTCATGAAATTCCTCCATTGGTCAGTGACCTTTCCAGCAAATATATCCTCATCTGAAAGCCCTGCCTGTGCTAATTCATCTTGGGGTAGGTAGATCCTTCCTCTTGTAGCACTGAGCAAAGTGAGCGCACATATACAGAAGATGTCAGAACTCTGAATCACCACCCTGTACAAGTTACTTTTGCTTGCAAAACTCTGATTAGTTTGCAGTATATATTGACTGACATTATGATTCTAGTCAAGCATTTTTCCAGCTCAATATTCACTCAACACTTAAGGTCACTTATATAGACTTTACCAAGATTCTTTTCCTTAGCCTCTATGCTCCCTTGGGAGCGGAGCACATGCATTTACCCAATCATTGAAAAAAGGTTCTGGCCCTTCATTACTTTTTCTCTTTTTACCACCTTATGACACTTCAATCTGAGAGTGGACACCACTCAGTAAAACAAGGGGTTTAATCTATTTCAAAAGCAATTAACATTACCTACAAGCTGCATGTATTGATGAATACTAGAACCAATGGATAAATCATTTCAAGATTTTGATACTTTTCACCATGATGGAAGGCAACCAGTAAGCTTGAAAAATAGCAACCGACATCCTTTTGGTTTTAGGCAACAGCAATTTGCTAGTGATGCATCAAAAGAATCATATGGTTTAGACTTACTCTTCTCCAACATCCCTTAGTATGTTAGTCAGCTGGTTAGCAATCCCTAATGCCAGGGCTGCATTATAGACACTTTCTACTGTTGCTTTTGATTCTGGTGCAATGCCCATAACTGGGACACTCATCAATCCAACGGTACCGGCCACATAGTAACAGTAGAGGTATAGCTCATCAAAGTTTTTGTATCTTGACTTCTTTAGGTCCATTCTCATTCCTTCAATCATGTCTCTGAATGGCTGCAAATGATGGTGTTCAAAATGGCAGAAGGAATGCTTAGTATATAAAGCACTTATTCTATAGCAAGAAGGTACTTCCAGTAAAACAAAAGAAATCAACAAAAAGTGCAGAGAGCAAATAGTCAACATGTAATTTGTGCTAATGAGATGTTACTGGTAATACATGACAAAGCATCGTT